AAGAAGTGTGTCAGCAGCCTTAGCCATTTGAGCAGCACATATAAAATCTGTCAACTCTGTAAGTGATGAATCTGGACCACATCTCTCCATGGTTATTGAAAACTCAGTCTCTGAGAATCACATTTTTGTCAAGTATAACAGTTTATTCTCCTCATCAGAATCAGAATTCATGATTTCCTCGATATCAGAAGAACTATCAATATATGTGAAATCATCCTGAAAGATCGCTTCATAATCAGATGAGTTGTTATCAGAATCAACATGTTGCATGGGTGCAGATTTTTGATGAGCTTGTACCATTGTATATGTAGACTTGCCTCTCCATCAGATTATTGTTTGCATAAATTGGTTTCTCTCCCACAGAAAAGTATATTTCAGATATGGCTTTCACTGAAAGATGATAAGCCACTGTGTCAGCTTGGAACGGATTACCAAGCTATTTTTACTACACTGTCTGACTAAATCCCTCCAGATACAGAAAATGGTCACCTCATTCAGAAGACACATATCTCAGACGTTTCTGTTAGAATAATTGAATACTTCTTAAGTTTGTGATAACATGAAGAGAATTTCAGTTACTTGATAACACTACTGTTTAGTGACACCAGAATGAGAGTATTCAAGATAAATAGATTTGGGGCACGAATAAAGCTACAAGTACCTACAACAATTCATTGTCAAAATTGGACCTCATGGGGATCATGACATTCCAGTCAAACAGAGATTGAGAGTGAATAAGATAAATCTAGAGGGACATCTTGAGGGCCCATTTCAACCAGAAATAGAATATTGGGGCATTTTGAAGGCTCACAGCAATATGAATATTTGGGCATTCTTGGAGGCTCATCTCAACAAGAAGTAATGTTGAGCACACTTTTAACATCTGTATCAGCAAATATTGGGGCATTTTAAAGCTCACTTCAGACAGATCCATGTGGGGTATTTTTGAAGACTCAGATTAACAAGAAGCAAATATTGGGGCATGCTGAAAACCCTTTTCAATCAGAATCAGGACTGTTGATGCATTTTGGACACTTGTATTAGCCAATGTTGGGGCATGTTGAAGGCCCATATCATCCTGTGTCGAGATCATTGATTTGAACAAATATTTCTAATGAGACAAAGATATGAAGAATGAAAATGATGAAACAGTGACAGTTGAGCTGACTACACATAATTGCTTCGTTCATCAGGCAGTTGCATTAGGGTCCTGTTGTTGAACAAATATTTATTCAGCAAGTATGGTTTCAAATACTAATCTTCTTAACTGTATGTCACATGACAGTGTGTTCTTTGATAAACTACATTACGGTTGCATGAATAAAGATGATCCCCAGGTAGACTACTTGATCCAGGGTTCAGTTCCTTAAGATCTCAGCATTGAATTTGGCCTTCTGTGTGTCGGTGATAATTGAAAATATTTCTTTGAGATTCCTAGCAAATAGTTTCAACCATACTATTGAGATTATGAAGCTGTATTTCACATCAGTTTTTGCTTCCTTGATGACATTGAAAAGGGAGACTCGACTCTCACTTATATTACTGTTATTCCCGTTGTTATTTGGGATCATCATTGCTAGCCAAGATGAACTGAGTTTTCATCTATTTTGGTTTTATCATTTATATTTCATCCCCAGCTGCAAAAATTCCACGGATATCTTTCTGTACATTGATCCTACAGCTGATGTGTTTCTACTTCCTACAAAGATCATTATAGAAGAAAATGTGATCAGTATTACATTTGTCTTTGCCCGAGATGATATCAAGATTAGTTAGTGTCTCCTGTTCAATTCGACACCAGCATATCTTGTGAATTTGACCAACTTTTTGGTCATACCAACATTACACTTGAATCCCCACTGAGTTTTTGTTCTCAAATGGTCCTATGACATCATTCAAAAGCTTTGAACACTAGGCAAAGAGCTTCAATGATTGAGAACATCTGAGCAGAAGCCACAAAAAAGGATGAATGTGTTGTCAAATGTTTTACGAACATCTGAGCAGAAGCCACAGGAAAGGATGAATGCACTGTTAAATGTTTTACGAACCTGCTATTCGGATACTGAACCAATGTTACGATCATATGGTTTCCATTTATTGACCCAAGATGAAATATGTCTTCTTCAACCCCAAGATTAGAAGCAAGATATAATGAAGATTTCTTTCCACAGAAGGGAAGCAGAAATTTTGACAAACAAAAAACTAGTGGAGCCAACTAAGATCAAACAATAGGTTGTTGTTAAACATCTTTACATGATATGGTTTGAGTTGTTTTGTTTGAGATCCAATTAGATGTGGAGACATGAAAGGAATTGGAATAAATCCTCCTTGTGATATGTTTCAAGAGTCAAATCAGAACAGACTCTATTCTCCTGATTAATCCCTGCTGAGTCAGGCATATCTACATCTGCACTTTTTAAAGATAATAGATTCTCACTTCAGAGATGACAAATTTTCTTTTTAAAGATGATAGATTCTCTTTTCAAAAATGAAAGCTTTATGGAATTTCTACACAAGTTCAAGCAAAGAAAATTGGTTTTATCCAAGACAAAATGGGACATCAAGGTCATAGTTCTGACTACAGCAAGAGTTCCACAAATGAAACATTTCTTCTGAGACCTTCATGAAGCAAAGAAGACAGTAAAGATACAAGTTGATCAGATGATTCTGCAGAAATGCAAGCTTGATAGCATAAGTTGCTACATTGATATCCAAAGGTAACCCTGGCAATAAATGATGAACTAGAGGAAGACCAAGTTCACCACTTTGAAGTCAAATGAAGATTGCATCAACATTCATGCATTCATAAGAATATCATTTACACAATAGACAATGCATTACATTGATACATCTAAGTGCATTCAAACATGAAGTTTTACAGATCTTCGGAAGAACAAGAAGATTCATGGTAAGAAATACCTTTCAAGAAGAAGGTATTTAAAACCGTAAATACAGGAATCACGCAAACATCTGAAGAATAGATGGACGTAATCCACAAAAATGAGCATTATTTTGGAGATTGGGGCATGTTACCCAATCAACATATTATCTTGAAAAATAATGAGAAAACGATTTCCATAGTTTCTCATTCAATTTTTTCTGAAAATGAAACTGTTGAATAGTAAGAAAACAATTTACATAGTTTCTTACTTAGTAAACTATTTCCCACATCTGTAAGCCCTTCAGTGCATGATGTTTCCAAAAAGCCTTCGGGAGCTTTTTGATGTTTTCAAAGCCTTCGGGTCATCTGTAAGTCCTTCAGTGCATGATGTTTCCAAAAAGCCTTCGGGAGCTTTTTGATGTTTCAAAGCCTTCGGGTCATCTGTAAGTCCTTCAGTGCATGATGTTTCCAAAAAGCCTTCGGGAGCTTTTTGATGTTTTCAAAGCCTTCGGGTCATCTGTAAGTCCTTCAGTGCATGATGTTTCCAAAAAGCCTTCGGGAGCTTTTTGATGTTTTCAAAGCCTTCGGGTCATCTGTAAGTCCTTCAGTGCATGATGTTTCCAAAAAGCCTTCGGGAGCTTTTTGATGTTTCAAAGCCTTCGGGTCATCTGTAAGTCCTTCAGTGCATGATGTTTCCAAAACGCCTTCGGGAGCTTTTTGATGTTTCAAAGCCTTTGGGTCATCTGTAAGTCCTTCAGTGCATGATGTTTCCAAAAAGCTTTCTGGAGCTTTTTGATGTTTTCAAAGCCTTCGGGTCATCTGTAAGTCCTTCAGTGCATGATGTTTCCAAAAAGCTTTCTGGAGGTTTTTGATGTTTTCAAAGCCTTCGGGTCATCTGTAAGTCCTTCAGTGCATGATGTTTCCAAAAAGCCTTCGGGAGCTTTTTGATGTTTTCAAAGCCTTCGGGTCATCTGTAAGTCCTTCAGTGCATGATGTTTCCAAAAAGCCTTCGGGAGCTTTTTGATGTTTTCAAAGCCTTCGGGTCATCTGTAAGTCCTTCAGTGCATGATGTTTTCAAAAAGCCTTCGGGAGCTTTTTGATGTTTTCAAAGCCTTCGGGTCATCTGTAAGCCCTTCAGTGCATGATGTTTCCAAAAAGCCTTCGGGAGCTTTTTGATGTTTCAAAGCCTTCGGGTCATCTGTAAGTCCTTCAGTGCATGATGTTTCCAAAAAGCCTTCGGGAGCTTTTTGATGTTTTCAAAGCCTTCGGGTCATCTGTAAGTCCTTCAGTGCATGATGTTTCCAAAAAGCCTTCGGGAGCTTTTTGATGTTTTCAAAGCCTTCGGGTCATCTGTAAGTCCTTCAGTGCATGATGTTTCCAAAAAGCCTTCGGGAGCTTTTTGATGTTTCAAAGCCTGCGGGTCATCTGTAAGTCCTTCAGTGCATGATGTTTCCAAAAAGCCTTCGGGAGCTTTTTGATGTTTTCAAAGCCTTCGGGTCATCTGTAAGTCCTTCAGTGCATGATGTTTCCAAAAAGCCTTCGGGAGCTTTTTGATGTTTTCAAAGCCTTCGGGTCATCTGTAAGCCCTTCAGTGCATGATGTTTCCAAAAAGCCTTCGGGAGCTTTTTGATGTTTTCAAAGCCTTCGGGTCATCTGTAAGTCCTTCAGTGCATGATGTTTTCAAAAAGCCTTCGGGAGCTTTTTGATGTTTTCAAAACCTCAGGGTCATCTGTAAGTCCTTCAGTGCATGATGTTTTCAAACATTTCCATCCTACTCAAAAGAAGCCAAATGAAAAAATTATTGTCTTTTTCGTCTTTGCTCTATTCTTGTTAACACAAGGATGAGCAAAGAGGGGCAGCTGTAGACATCAATTTTTTTCATTTAAATTTATTATTATTATTAAAATTATTATTATTAGTATTATTATTATAATTATTATATATTATTTATTAAATATTACAAAGCCCAATTACAATAACTCAGGCCCAGATACAGAAGCCCAACATAAACCCTAAAACCCAACTAGGGTTTCTCATCTCATGCCCCAGCCGCCAGTGATCTCCACCGTTGGATCTGGCAAGATCCAACGGTCCAAAACTATCCAGCTTGAAACCATAGGGTATCATAACCCTAGGGACCACACGGCCGCCGTCGTTGCTTCCAGACGTTCCAGCTGCCGATGCCCTCGCCAGAAGCCTCCAGAAGCTTTGCTGCCATGATAACAGCCGCACACGTCGCCTCTATGGTGAGTCACCAGCATAGCTTTGGTGACTCACCGAGCCTTACACCCTTGTAACCGGTCCGACGAGAACCTCATCAAGGCTATAAAGCCATCACCTGCAAGAAGAAAAAAGGGACAGAAAGCAAAGAACGGAGACAACAACCAACAAACCAGAAAGAGCCACAAAGAGATACCGAACAGACAAAAAAATAATAATAACAACCCTCAGCAGCAAACAAAACAGAAAGAAAGAAAGGAGAAAGAACTTACCGAGGAAACCACGCGGTGACCGGAGACGCTACGTACCGAGGAAACATTTGAAATACCCGAAGGTATTTCTCTAGATCTGCTCCGATCCAGAGCTTTTTAGGGTAAACCAAGGCCAGATTTGGCCTTGGGAGGTTCGGGTCTTTATTTTGGGGTCTTTATGTAAAATCTGACCACCGTATATGGTAGCCGGCGGCGGTGGTCGAGACCAAAGCGCGGCCGTCGGCCAGAGCTCAATTCCCTCAGATGAAGGAATTGAAGAGAGAACCGAGAGAGCATTCTCTCTCAGTTAGAAAGAAGAGGAACGAGAGAAATGAGGATGCTGGCCCTTCGGGCCAGCCGTTTGGTAAAAATATAAATCCCTCCCCAAAACGACGTCGTTTTGGGGAGGGACCCTTGTGTAATTTTACATACGGGTAAAACCCTTTCCGTAGCCATCCAAGTTTTATAATTATTCATTTTAGTCACTGAAATTAATTTCTGAACATTTTAATTCAGTTTTTGAATTTTATTTTATTATGTTTTAGTCCTTACCAGTATTAAATATATTTATTTAGGGTAAATACCTAATTTAGTCCTTTACAGTTTAGTAAAAATCATTTTAATCCGAATTAATTAAATAAGGCTAAATTATATTATTAGCACTTAGATCTTTTTATCATTCGAGTTGGAACCTTTAATTTTAATGATTATTATTTTAATCACCTATTAATAATTAGGATTAATTACATCATTAGTAATTATATTTTTATAATACTATAAATAAGGGCTGTAAATTTTAATTTTTTAATATTTTTATTTATTTTAATATGTTTTAGTCCCTATTTAATTACAATTTAATTTGTATTATTATCATTTCAAATCCAATATGTTTAAATGATTACTTTAATTATTATTGTATTATTATCTTAGTCATATAAATATATATAATAAATAATATTTATTTATTTATTTATTTATTTTCTATGAAATAAAAATCCTATTTATGAATTAGATATGTTTAATTTATATTTTAGATATTTATTTATTTTTTAAATATTGAAGGAAAGAGCTGTCTTAAAACAACTAGAAACCCTTTTCTAATATTTTTAATTAAATAAATATCTTACTATATTAAAATAATTTTTTTAGTTATTTATTTATATCAAAGAAAAGAGCTGTCTTAAAGCACCTAGAAGCTCTTTTCTGATATTTCTAAATAAATAAATATCTTATTTATATATATTAATATATTTTCTTAAAATTATAAATTTGAAATAAAAGGATTATGAATTAAATATATCTTTGAATTTTTAAATTTCCAATAATAGAGACAATTTATAATTAAAAAAGTACCAATTTTGGGCATTGTAGGGGTGCTAATCCTTCCCTAAACGTAACCGACCACGAATCCCTTTTTATTATTATTAAGAACGAATTTTTGGTTATAAACGCAGATCAGTTCATTTTTTAATTGATGTTTTCTTAAAACTCTTTTAAAAAATAATTTTTAGGTATTCGACCTACCTGACCCAAAAGGCCGATGGCGACTCCCAAATTATTTTAAAAACCATTTATTCACATTATTTTTCCCGCCAAGTAAAAAATTCGTGCCCGGATGAAAACCGGTTACGACAAGCTGGACGATTGACTTCTCGTGGGATCCAGATAAACTTAAGTACCCATCTTCATCGTTACGACATTAAGATAACACGAACTAGAGTCAAAGAATTAGAGTGAGTATAAGTATCGTTGAGAGCTGATATAGTTCCAGAGAAATTCGATTGTACCTGCACCAATTCAAAACTGTATTACCAAGGGACTAGAGTGAGAATAAGGTGGTTTTTATTTTTTTAATATTTAATCAGATAGTTCATTTATTCAGTGCATAAGAAAACCATCCTGATGAAGGGGAGATATATTTAAAGATGGAGGGAGTCAGTTACAAGATGTTCAACTATATAGGAGCGTTGTTGGAGCCCTTCTATATTTAAATCATACGCGACCCGACATTGCGTATAGTGTCAATCGTGTAGCTCAGTACATGCATGCGCCTTGTACTCAACATTGGGTGGCTGTGAAACGCATTTTGCGTTATTTGTGCGGGACACTTAATTATGGTCTACTGTTTCAAAAGACAGGATTGGGTCTACACTTGGAAGCTTTTGCGGATGCCGATTGGGCAAGCAATGTTGATGATCGTCGTTCGATATCCGGGTTTTGCGTTTTTCTTGGAGGTAATCTAGTGTCTTGGGGTTCCAAGCGTTAACGGTCAATCTCTCGGTCGACTACTGAGGCTGAATATCGTGCGTTAGCGGATGTTGTGGCTGATGTTGTTTGGATTCAAGCTTTGTTGACAGATATGGGAATTCCGCCATCAAGTACTCCCGTTGTTTGGAGTGATAATACGAGTGCGATAGCGATGAGTGCCAATCCTGTTCTGCATTCTCGGTCGAAACATGTTGAATTAGACCTCCATTTCATTCGGGAGAAGGTTGCTGCCGATAAAGTTCGAGTTAATTACATTCCTGCTCAACATCAAAAAGCTGATGGATTCACCAAGTCTTTGTCTCGGGCTTATTTTTCTTTGTTTTGCTGCAATCTCAAAATCTATTGTATAGTTCTAGAGTCCATAGACAGTAGGGAGAATGTTAACTATTATGAGAATAGCAGTGAATAACAAATAGGTTGTTATTTGGTTGTTAGGAAGGATATGCCAGCAAGGCATTCTAGTGTAACTGCTCCAGCTAAGAACATTCTAGCAGGTTTTTGTAAAACGCTATATATGTGGTAATTGAGAAATGAAGAAGATGAGGCATTAATTAAATCAAGGTTCAACAGGGAGATATATTACGAGTTGTAGCATCTGGTTTCTGAAATGAAGAAGCTTGGGTATAAGCCTGATGACAAGTGCGTTTATCAGAATATTGATGACAGTGAAAAGGAGAAGGTGATGCAGAGCCACACAGAGAAACTGGCCGCAACTCACCGGATAAACAAGTCTTTGGTAAATACACCAATCAGGGTAATGGAGAACCCAAGGATTTGGCCCGACTGCCATACTGCAGCTAAATATACGTCTTTGGTAAAGAATCGAGAGGTTTTCCTATGGGATGGTAGTCGATTTCACCTGCAACGGTTGTTGGTAACAATGGGCCTTGTATGGCTTTCACCAATACAGAAGGCACTACCTTGAGGGAAGTGTTCCTGCTAGGGTTGTTGGTAATAAGGGGTCTTGAGCACTATCTTGAGAGATCATGCATGACTGTAGCACTACTTGAAAGTAGTTCATCGTGTCCCAAGGCAACACAAACCGATGGTGTTAACTTTAAATAACTATGTTACTTTAATCAAGTGATAGGTTTAGCTCAATAATAGGTGCTCCTAAATCTCACCCCTATTTTTTGAGTTTTAACCCTTCTTGCTGTCGCACTTTATTTTTTTTTTTAATTTTTTAATAAAAATTATGACATGTATGACGATAAATTCATTGAATCAAATTAAAATTATGATTAATTTTATAGAATATATAAACAATGAGGACTAAATATATAATTATATATAATACCTTATACTTGTAAAGAATTATGCGGTTGGCAAAAATGTAGGGTGACAAACTAAAAATGAATGAAAAACAAGTTAGAAGGTCATCGTGTTTAATTAGGTTAATTCTTCAAGTTCTTAAATCATATAGGAATTGAAAAGTATATTAGTCCTACTTTAATTACACTTAATTATGACCAAAACCAATTGCGTCCTATGATTATATGCCAACTTCGATCAATTAGAAAAGTCTAAATTGAAACCAAACATTGCTTTTCAGTTTGGGTTGTTGAAGCCACCGCCCCATTTGCTTAATTTTCAACACTCAGTGTTGGCTATGAACAATGCCTGCCTGACGTTTACAAAATCAAGTTTTCAGTTATTTTAAGTCCACGCCCATCGGCCCCAGCAAGCAGTAGAATTCTGTTAATTTGGGGTTTGCGGTCAATATATGCGATTTGATATTTTGGTAGCACCCTGAGTGCTCCCGAAAAGTAGGGTTCAAAAACTGCAATGATTTTGGTGATGTTGCTTTGACAGATTACCTGCGTTTGACTAATTCAACTGCCGAAGCCACACGATGAGTTTTCAGTATTCAGAGTCTTAGTCACAAGTCAAGACTATAACTTCAATTCCACTGTCAGTTATGGAACGCAAATGGGAGCTCCAATATCCTTTACAAAAGCAATGATTTTCGTCGTATTTATCTTGAGAGTTTACCCAGGTTAAAACAGTTTATTTTTTTAAAGCAAAAGATATTATTATTCGAAAATAAGTAAATGAATTTAAAATTTTTACTTTAAAAGGAGAAATTTTTTTAAACATTCATAGTGTTCGAATTCGAGATCCTAAAAAATAATAATAATTTTTTTATTATTAAATTTACTTGGTTGATGCATAATTAATTACATGAACCACTTGGGTTACATCCTCGTTTCTAAGAAACAAACAAAATGCAATATTGTACTAGTCAATGCCACAACAATCAAAGTCAAAATTTATTTATTGAAAATTCTTACCGTGGCTTTTCCCATCAAACTAGTTGACCTTATTTGTTTAAAATTTTTATGGCTCCCGCGGAATGGTTTATACGAGCACATTTACACTACGATAGAAACAA